AGACTCCTGTTACGTTGATATCTGTTTAGTGAGGAAAAGAGGTTTTTAAGTCCATACTAAAGATCTGTGAGAGCCTGGATGAATGATGGACTGGGTGAGAAATTGTAAGGTTTGAATTTCCTCTGAAGAACGGAAACTTTGGCAAAAGACATTGATTAGGCTTTCCATCATAATAAAAGTGCAACTTTGATGTGATACTAGAAAAGAATTTTACATATTGACCTTGAATTTTAATGATTCACAAAAGAAGATTAAAGAAACTTCATCTTGTAGTCTAATATCTGAAGCCCACACCATACTGAGTATTGCTTCCAATTTTTCTGGGGATCAGCATCTTTCTGGTGACCCAGATGAGACCAACCATAACTGTTCCCTGATGTCTAGTGCTAGAACGGCAGAATGAAACATTAGCCTGGGTGACAAGGTCCATGCAGGCTGTTTGGGCGCAGAAACCATAAAATTTAAAATGTGTTAAATTTACCACATGCAAAGTAGAATGTAGTATTTTCTTCTGGCCAACACAAGCTCCCTTTCCTGACTTTTCCACCAGGCCCATAAATATGCCATTATTTCTGACCTTTACTTCTCGTTGCTTCTTGCCTCATCAATCTGTTGTCAAAACCTAGATATTTTTGCTGTAGATTCATTTTATGTTCTTCCCCCAAATGAGGCAGTGCTCAGAAGCGCCCAGGAAATCAAAATATCATCCAGACTTGAGCTCCCGATACCAACAGTACCTGCAATGACTATGTACAGTCCAATAAGCCAATGATGTAAATTGGGAGACTACTCGCAAATTCTGATTTGCATCGATAGTCTCTTCTTGTCATCCTGGCAACCACTACTCACAATGACTACAGCACTGTCTTTGCTCTCCTACCTCACAAGAAAATGCTCTTCTATTTGTGTCAACCCCTACTTGCCTCTTGACTTGAGGAAGAGCCCAGACTCTCCACCAACAGAATAAATCCTTTCACGTGTGCCTTTCGAGTTTCTCCCAAGCGCTGTTGCAGTTTTGCCCACAGAAGTGGTGCTTTCTATGATTTCAGCGAGTCACTCTTGCTTCAAAGGCTTGGGACGGATGGAGCTGGATTGTTCTCTACTGTCACTTAATAGTGCTCAGCCACACTATTTTCTTGGCTTCCTTTGCTTTTTCTTCCCTTGGCTATCTTTGAATTTTATGTCTCAGGCTGGGCGTGGTGGCACACACCTGTAATCCCAGCACTCAGGAGGCTGAGGCAGGAGGGTCACTGTGAGTTTGAGACCAGCCTGTGCTACACAGTGAGTTCCAGGTCAGTCTCAACTACATAGTGAGACCCTGTCTGAAAAAAAATTATGTCTCATTTTCTCTGCAGGAAAATTTGGGGTGGAGTAAAGATACCCCTCTACAATAAACTGTATAAAAGTGCTTTCTCAGCATCTGAAGGGTTAGAATTCAAGACACATTATACCCAACTGCAAAAACAAGTAAATCCAAACAGAAATTCTTAGCTCCAAACTCAGTCATTGTAATCAGAGTAAGTTTCTCTGTTCTGAAGAACTACACGGGAGCTTGGTTATTCTTTCCTATGGACACTGTAGCAGAGCATCTACATTTCCATGCCTTAGTCCGTGGTCATGTTAGGCTATGGTCTTCATGTGAGCTGGGAGCACTTCCAGTCCAGGCCTTTCATCCCTAGTCTTGCCTTGTGCTGAGCTGCCCGGACCTACTGGAGGCCATTCTCCCAGCAGAGGCTGAAGACCCAGTCTTATGGCAGTCAAAGCTGACCTGTGGACTCGGACCACTCTCTGAAAGTTTGTTCCCTCCTTGCCTATCACAGTAAAGTGAGCAAAACCACACCTACCTTCTGTTGCTATTCTGAGGACTTACATTTCTTCATTCTTTATTTCAATCCTTTATACCGTCACTGCCTCCCATCACCCAGAGAATAATTCAGAAAGCCTCAAGTCATTTGTATTTCCATCGTATGAAGTGCAGCACATAAGAACTAGAGAAGATACTCTCTCTTCACACTGTACCCACCCAACCCCACACCCAGGGCCTTCCACTGACTGGGAAGTCACACAGTTTCCTGAGCATTTCTTGTTCCACTATGTGGGGATGAGGAGTCTTTTACCCTTGCTTCTTTTTCCCTCCCAACCACGTGATTGCGGTGTTTTGTTTGTTGGTTTGTGTTTGTTTTTGTTTTTTTGTACCAGGGATTGAACTTGGGACCTTGGTCTTGCAAGGCCGGTGGCAGAACTGCAGCCCTTTTTATTAAGTTATTCCTTTTCTAAGAACACAAAGAAAATGGAGAACATGACTCAAGCTTCTCATAAAAGATCTAATGTGAAGTTTCACATATTTCCCATTTTTGACAAGTAATATAGTAATTTAAAGAAAAATAAACTTTCCACAAGTCACTGAAATCTGTAGTGGCCACAGTGCTGCCAGAAAGGATTCTGACTGCTTCTGCTAGACCTCCTTGCACCCAAATCTTGTTTAAAGCTTTGGAGTTCCATAGATGAAGTTTCTGTAATATGTAATGTAGATTAAAAGGAAGGCAATTTCATTAACAGAGCATTAAGCTTAAAAATCTAAATGTTAAAGGGATGGATATTCAACCTAATTAAAATGGCTGAACACAGAGTCACAATTAAACAGTAAGAGAATTATGGAAAAGTAAATATTTACACACAAATTGTACACTTATTAGTATTTACAAAGAAGTGCTTCTCATCTGCAGTTTCCTCCGTAATGATATTGTTATGAGGCAATAAATGTGGTTATAGTTAATAACAGATGTTAAGTGGCATAATTCATCCAGAAACCTTACTAATTACTGCAGAAGTGTGAGGCAAATACACAGCATCAGATGGGAGGAATATCTTATCTGTTAGTTTATAAATGGAAAAAACGAAAGGTCACTTATAGAAAAAGGAATATTTAAAGTAAAGCCGTATTTGTTTTAATGAAAAATTTAAACACTCTAAAATTACAACTGGCTTCACCTCCCAGAATGTTTCATGCTTCATTCATAGAAACACATTAGCCTGAATGAGTCTGAGCTAACTTGGCCACTTTAGTGGTAATCACTCTCTGAATTAGTTTAGGGAGAATGTTTCACATTTCAAGCTGCAGTCCTTGCTGTCTTCTGAATGATGCTTACCATCAACTATATCATGTTTTTTTTTTTTTTCTGCTCAGATCTTCTTTCCTTACAAGGCCATTGGGACAAGATGGCAGTGAGGAGGACAGATAAACAGTCACCCACCGTAATTTTAGTTTATATAAACCATAAAGAGAAAAGTTGGGAGATTTAAATGCTTTAAATATTTTTCATAATAAATTTTGGAAGGCTTATTGGAATAACTAAATCAAGAGATATTGCTTGTTATCATTACAAAACCTCAAAATCTCAATAGTCATTGTGAAACTCCCCATCTGCTAACAGAGTTGGCTTTTAGTTCACACCATAATGTTAAGCTGTTCACTCTACTTCCTTGTTGTCTTAACAGTGGTATCTTTGACAGACATTTCTCAGACAAAGAAGTAAAAGCATCAAACAAACATATGTAAGCATCACTGGTCATTCAAGAGATGCAAATGAAAACAACACTGAGATTCCACCTCACCCCAGAAAAAATGGCTGCTATCATGAAATCAACCAATAACAAATGCCGGCAGGGTTGTGAGGAGAAAGGAACCCTTCTCCATTGTTGGTGGGAGTGCAGACTGGTGCAAGCACTGTGGAAATCAATATGGAGATACCTCAAACAACTAAATACCATTTGACCCAGCTATTCACCTGCTGGGTATCTTCCCAAAAGAATTAAAAGAATCATACCACAGTGATATATGCTCACCAATGTTTATAATAGCACAGTTTATACTAGCTAAAACTTGGAAACAGCCCAATGGCCCATCAACTGGAGATAGAATAAAGAAGATGTGTTTTGTTTCATTTTGTTTTGTTTTATGAAACAGAGTACTACTCAGCCATAAAGAATGAGAAACAAGAAATATTTATAGCTAAGTGGATGCACGTTGAGGCCATATACAAGTGAAATAAATAGGAGACATGTAAATACTGAATACTTTCTCTGGTGTGAAAAACTAAAAGCATAAATAAGGGTCAAAATGTATAATTGATATTGTGAAATAGGAAGAAAATGTCTAAAGGAGTAGGGGAAGTGGGAGGGGTAGGGGAAAGATACGAAGGGAAAAGAAAAAATATGAGAAATGGAAAAAACATGGAAACATAGTCTTTATAAATAGGAAAGAGCACAGGGGGTGAAAGGAGGGTAGGGATATGGGGAAAAAATAAGAAGCAAGAAAAAATAAGAACCAAAAAATAAGAACCTATAAAGGTACAAGATCCCAATGGTGAAAGTAACTGTATTGTCTACCTAAAATGTACCAATAAACTTAATGGAAAAAACAAACAAAGAAACAATGGTATCCTTTGTAAAAAAAAAAAAAAGGTAGCTGATTTGCACGACTTTTCACAAAGCTTTCCTTTATGGATTTACTTTCTACTGGTCTTTAAAACTGAAGAGCTTGCTTTACATCTTGATTTGAATAAATTCAGGATGCTGACACTAAAACAACAGATATCCAACATCTTTGGACAAAAATACATTTGTGCTGTGCATGTGTCCGTGTGTGCACACAGTGACAGAGACAGAGAAATACGGGGGGAGTAGAAAGAGGAGCAGAGCGAGCAAGACAGATATTGAAAAAGAAAAGGCAAATAGTAACTTCTGTTTTCTGTGAAACAGAAATCATTGTACACAACCTCTTTTCATTCACAATGTTAGAGTGTCCTTTACATTGTGGAAAGCTTGGTGGCTAGGTGATTTTTTTAAATGTCTTTGAGTGAGACAACTTTGAGTCTCCTTTTTGACGCTGGAGAATAATTTGTCGATAAAATAGAAACAACAATAAAAACCAATGTATATCTATCAATATAATTATTGAAGGTAGGCTTTTTTTCTCTACTAACTTTTAGAACCATCTGAATAGAAACTGCTTAGGAAAGAGGCAGAGGAATTTAGGTCTCAAGACAGAGAAAACGGATTAGTCCAGTGCTTCCCAAACCTCCATATTCACAGGCCTCACCCAGAGACCCTCCTCAAGGACAGATTCTGGCTCCGGAGGCTTGCAGTGGGCAGGCACCACATGTCCACATGCTCGCAGGTGTTATTGCTGCTGCCTGTGGACCACATGGTGAGCAGCGACGGCCCAGAGGACTGTGGGTGGTCTCATCTAAATCTGGAACATTGTACAACAGCACTTGAGTCATCACTGCAGAGTTCTGAAAAAGAAAGTGAGTGAAAGTTCATACTGAGCCTCAATTTAGAAAGCTGGACAAGTACTTAAAGAGAATCCTGATTTATTCCTCATCACAAGTGCGCTTTATCACAGAGAAATTGTTCCAAAAGGCTGAGAAAATATGCGTTTGTCAATGTCTCTGGTGAAGACAGCCCACAATATTGGTTGGTAGTTAATTTAGGTTTAAACAACCCGCATCCTATTTAGCAAAAGTTTCCTGTGCTTTACTCTGTTAATTCTTTATGTCCAAACCCCATTAAGGTAGAAAATTCCTCTAAATAATACTTCCCTCTATTCATTAATATGTAATCTCATGGTTTCTATTCTTTGAGCTATCTCAGAATGGTTAGACTTTTCTCAATTGGACAGTTTCCAATTCTTTAATCATTTAGGTAATCTCAGGCCAGTGATGTCACTCCCCCTGGAGAGTAACTTATTCCCCCCTCAGTTAATATATGTTCATACTCCTCTGTGTTTTCATTCTTCCAATATCTAATGGCCCACTTCTTCTCAGAATTCCTGTATGATCTTTATGGATCACTGTCATCTTTTGAAGATCTTTTCATGAGTAACTACCAGAATCTCATTGTCACTAAGCCATTCACATGCAAAGGAAAAGAACATAATTAGTATGCAAATTATTACCATGTGGACCCTCTGATGTTTATGCATTTTGATATTTGCCCCTGAAATAATCTCATTGTTTTCTAAGTGGTTCCAAAATTACCCACATATAAGACAGAGTCAACCAACATATGCAGACTAAAAACAGAACAATGCTTTCTTATACTTAGATTCATGATATGCACAAAGGTGAACATGTAGTTCATTTCAGTGAATACACAAGTGAAAGTCAGACGTAAGTAAATACAAATCCCTATTCTACCTATTACTAGTCTGTGACTTTAGGCAAGTTAATATCATTGAATAAAAGTCTTATTGATTTTTTTTTGTTTTGATTTTATTTTTGTTTGTTTATTTGTTTGTTTTTGAGACAGGGTCTCACTATGTAGTTGAGACTGACCTGGAACTCACTATGTAGCCCAGCCTGATCTTGAACTCACAGTGATCTTCCTGCCTCAGACTCCCAAGTACTGGGATTTCAGGTGTGTACCACTATGCCCAGCCTAATGTTTCCTTGTTTTTAAGGAAGGAATAATAATAGCTGCTTTACAGAGAGTCCTACAAATTACATTAGATAAAATATGAAGCATGTATTATATACAGTGGTCTTTCATAAACATGATCTAAATGACACTAGCATGTATCTAGGTTATTACAGTCATGTTGGTTTAAAAAACTATATAGGAAAGACTTCAAAAAAATTTAAAGGAAGGATACATAAGTAATTTAGATTGTGTTACATAAGGAGATTGAGGAAAGCCTTTAGTTACAGCCATAAGACTGTGACCATTTACCTATAGAAACTGTGTTCAAAACACTATTATTATGGTGATTGACAGGGTAATGAGCAAACTTGACCTCATGGTGCTGTACAAATTCCTATGTCTGGGAAAGAAGCTGTATCTTGAAATAACCACTGTTCAAAGAGGTAAATTTGGATTTTTAAGGTTATGTATAGCTTTACTTTTCCATATCTAAGAATGAAACTTACAACATTGAGTTGTATGCACATTGAATAGTATAATGCTTTATTAAACTTTTTGTTACACTGTCCGTTAGAATTTCAATTATTTTTCACCCATACTCTGTTTATTCAATGTACATATAGGCCTCCTATATAAAGAAGAAATTCAAACTCATGAACTTTACATCTGCAATAATATGAAACACCTAATTTTGCTCATATCTGAAATATTTAAAAATTGTACTTGTAGCTTCAAATTGAGTGATCATTTAAGGCATTAATTTTCATATAAAAAGGCTGTTATATTTCTAGGTTTCAATAATGTCTGCTGCATTAGACAACTGTCTGTCTGCATTTAGTCTTTAAAAAGTTGTTTCTCTTTTTTATACTTTGCCCTGTTTCTTTTTTTTTTTTGGTACTGGGAATCGAACTCAGGTCCATTGTGCTTGTGAGGCAGGTGGCAGAACCACCGAGCCAAGTCCCTGGCCCACGTCCTGTTGGTTTTTAAAGACCCAAAACTTCATTAATGTTTTAACAAAGGCTTAGGAAGATGTGAAAGCAAATGCCTATGTTCAACCCACCTTATTTAAGTCTCTAACTGCAGTGGTACCTTGGTTCATGAACAAATTTGTTTGCAAAAAATTTGATTCACACACAGAAGCATTTAGCAAAATTTTGTTTTTGTTTCCAAACTGCATCAGGTGACAAACACAACCTCAACTTTCTCAACCAAACGCAAATGTGTCCATCTTTGCCAAAATCGAAGAACACAATGTCTGTGAACTGAAGTTCACTATAGTTGGTAGTAGAACTTATACTGAAATACATATATATTTTGTTAAATTTCCTTTGCTAAAGTTTGGTAGTCAAGCAAGATCCAAGTCTTCTTTATCTGCATTTGTTTCTGTATTTGGTTGTTTGGTTGATTGGTTTTCATTTTCTTATAACATTGGAATATACCATCTTTAAGTGTTACTCTCTTATGTGGGAAAAACAAGCAAACAAACCAAAATCCATGCTAATTTCTGCACATTGTTCAATGAAGTTTTCATTTCCCCAAATTTATTTAATTGCTTCTCTACAAATAGTTAATAAGGACCTGTGAGATATCGTACTGTCTTAAACCTACTTTATACCATAAAAACAATCAGAGGGAAATTCAACTGGTCCTTCTTAATCATAGAAATAAGACTTAGTTGATTTTTAACTGCCAAGAATTGCCTGATTAAGGAATATTCTTTGTTTTGTAAAGTCAGAACAGCTGTAGACAATCAGAAATATTCAAACTTCTGAAGGGAGATCATGAGAGATAACTTGAAAAGAGAAATATTTTGACAAATGATTCCACTGAGTCCACATCGTCTCTCTGAACAATTTCCTTGGGTCTCTGCATTGATAAACAGTGAATATGAGTAAATCCTATTTCCTCCTGAAGTGTCACTGTCTATAGCTTTTCACTGACATTAAGTCTTGTAGCTTACTGAAATGTCCACATGTAGGAATTTTTAAAAGAAACCTGATTTATTTTGTGCTGGATTACACTTCATAAAGCGCCTTGAAACATGATTATTTCCTGGCCCATACTACATGGGTTGTTATTGTTTTATTTACTGCCTATTTTCTTCCTGATCCATATTCTATGTATCTATCTTATTTACCAACGTCTCAAGTGTGGCTTCACAGATCCATCAAAATTTACAGTAAATTAGAAAGGTAATGTTTCCAAGAAGATTTTAAATTACTGGTAGTAAAATAATGACCACAACCCATATTGGACCCTCTGGAGAAGGCTGAGGTTTGCTTTTCCTGAAATGATCAATTTTAGATTGCAATTGAGGCAGCTCCCTAAGCAATGAGTAAGTTAAAAAAGAGTTTAACAAGCCAATATGTTTCAAGTTCTGTAATCTCACCCTCTTGGTATAGATCCATCATATTTTCTGCAAAGTTATTTTCATGTCTTCCCTTTTCTAAGTACCATAAAACACAAAATAATACCAAACACTCTAGTAGTTGTTGTTTTCATTACTGTTAGATATTTGTTGAAATAAGCCTAGTGTCTTGTGAAGGAAATTTAAGAAATGATTAGTCATAAATTTAGAGGTTTAATGATCTCAATGTCAAAGGTATTAAGCCTCTCAAATCATCTTCATTTCCTTTAAAAACTAAACCATTCCTTTGTTTTCTATATAAAACAGAAGTAGAGTCACACGCTACCTTCGTTCAGAGGCATCAAGTTTTACGTGGATGTCAATTATTTGTTAATTTGTAGTGAAGCAAAAAGAAGAGGAAAAAAATATTGAGATTAGGTTTGTAGTCCAAACTTGCCAGTTTCCAAGGTAAGTGCCCTTATTGAATTAAAATATTGGTTTTGATAACTCAACTCTGTAGAGACTTCATTCTCCACAATTCCATACAGTATATAGAGAACAAACCTCAAAGCAATTCAGTGAGTGCATATTTGGTGGACAAAGCCCTCTGTCTTGCACAGTACATTGCAAGAGAAATAAAAGCCTTACTTTATTCAGGCAAGGCTTTTTCCCAGCTGAAAAAAAGATATGACCACAATGAGGAGTATTGATATTAGTCACAGGTGAACCTCAAAAGAATCGACTGTTAGATCAGCAAGGACTTATTTAACTAATCTGCCTCCATGGCTTGTGAAATGGAATTAAGTCCTCAACTGGAAAACTGAGCACAGTGTTGATGCAAAATACTTTTTGAAATTTACCTACATCATAGTCTAACCAATTTTTCAGTTGAATTAATAAAAGAGGGATCTAACCCTAATTTTCATCTTAATAAAATTTATTTGTGAATTTAAACTTTAATATGAGGGAAAACACACATCTTTAACTTTTTAGCCCCCTTCTCATATAAATACTGTTTCTCTACAGATTTTATGTGGAAAATTACACATAAGGCTGTTTCTAAATAGTTGTTGCAAGATTTGCCTTAATGAGGATTCAAAACATTGATCAAACTTTCCCCCTACACATTCTAAAAGGAAAAACTCCAGACATAAGGGGAGAGTAGAATTTAGCTTAATCAGATGTTTATTCTGTCTACTAACTTATGAGTATTTCCAACTTTGGATTTACAGAATTGTTATATTTACAAATACAAAATGAAGAGACAGACTTGTGTTTGGTACTGGAGTGGTACGGGACAGCTCGGCTAAGCACACACAGAGACTTTCACTAAATGTTTCCAGACCACTGGGTTTTCTTCATATGCCCATCAGGTGGGAGGCAGAAATAAGGCACTGAAAGGATGGCTCTTTGATTGGTACCCAATACAACACCTCAACAAGCACACTCTAAGGGCTGGTTCAAAGAGGAAGCTGCTCTCAGTTTTTCCGGGGTCTGTCCCTGAGAAAGCACATGGACCGCCTACAC